CGGGGGGGGGGTGCCCCTGCGTGCCCGGTGCCGTGCGGGGGCCACTGCTGCCCTCTGCCGCACGCAGCCAGAGCCGCCGCGCCGGCGGGAGCTGCGCGGGTACCGGGGCTGCAGCATCCCAAGCAGGGCAGCTTCTCCCCGGGCTGCGGGGGGTTGGGGGGCCTTGCACCCCACGCAAGCCCATCCCGGCAGCCTCTCCCCCCCACACTACTGCACCGCACGGAGGGAAGCAACCACCGCCAGCCACGATAGCATCCCTCACTCCAGTCCAGCTGCCTCTGCACCCAGCACCCCCCTGGCTCCGCTCCCCTCCGCAGAAGAAGCTGCACGGCAGAGAGCTGATCCCGGGGCACCCTGGCCTGTCCCCGCTTGTCCCCAGCCCCAGCCAGTCAGGGCTGGATGAGGCTGAGCATGGGCGGCTGGGCAATAAGGGACTGCAAGGGCAGGGTGGGGACAGATGCGTTGGGCAGACTTGGAGGGACAGGCTGGGGGAGAAGGGAACGTGGGGTGTGAAAAGGAGGCGGGTAGAGAGGGTGGATCAGGCTGCACGTCTGTGGTAGCTAGATGGGGAATTTGCCCCATGGCACTGCTGGCCACAGGTGTGTGACTCACTCCCCACCCGACTGTCTGCCCCAGATAGGGAAATCAGGCTGCGAGAGCCAGCACCCCCCTGGGAGCACCCCACCCAGCCAGCCAGGCTCCTTGGGCATGTCACGATGGGGGACCTGACCCCCCAGTCCCGCTCAGTGCCCTCCCTGAGCCTTACCTGACTTGACAGAGCAGTGGATGTGCGCCTTGGACTCGTAGTAGACCCAGTCAAAGCCAGCCTCCACGGCCAGGCGAGCCAGCATGCCGTACTTGTTGCGGTCCCGGTCCGAGGTCGTGATGTCCACAGCTCGGCCCTCGTAATGCAGTGACTCCTCTGAGTGGTGCCCGTCCTCGTCCCAGCCCTCCGTCACCCGCAGCTTCACCCCCGGCCACTGATTCATGACGGAGATGGCCAGGGAATTCAAGCGGTCCTTGCAGCGCTGTGGGGCAGAAAGGCAGAGTCAGTAACAGCTTTTTGGAGGTGGGGGTTAGCTGCCTGGTTGGCAGTTTGTATCCCACCATGTTTCCATGAAGCCCCTCTGGGTCCCCAGACCCTCTGGGTGCTGGCCCAGCCCAAGAAGATCTGAGAACGTGAGGTGCCTTGTCCATCCCATGCACTCCAGGCTCCTCACAGTGCCCGATAACCCTTTCTTTGACACAGCATCTCCCAAGGGTGTGCACCCCATTCGGGTACCCATCTCCCCCTCCATCTCTTCCCCCACTTTCCAGCTTGTTGAAGAGCCTGTTGGGCAGCAGAACATTGGTCAGGGTGAAATACCCTCTCTACTCCCAGGACACCTCCCCTGTGCTAGCACTGCCCTGGGGGCTCCCAGCTGACAGGAGGAGGATGAGGGAGTTGATACCCTGCTGCCTCCTGGCTGGAAGGACCCCCCAGCGTCCTCAGCACTGTCCCCAGGCACAAATGATACAACCTGACCAGTTCTCAGCCCAGCTCTGCTGGGTATCACTCCTCAAGTCATGAGGCACAGGGACACAGCACTGGGCAGCCCCATAGCTTCATCCTGCCTCTGCTCGCGTGGGAAATGCCAAACCCACCCAACAGCCCTGTTGTGCTGGAGCAGAAAGGATGTGGGGCAAAGCCCCCTCCACCTCTCCCCACCACAAGGGCTGAAAATCCAGGGCTGAGGAACAGCAGCAGATTCCGAAAGCCCCAGACCTGGTGGCCACAGAAGTCACACGAATAAGGCAACAGCCCTGCCTCGTCGTCCCCACCTCCCACCCCCCGTGCCGCTGTCCTCCCGCCTGTGCCGCAGCCCTGCACTGCCCGCTTCCCCCAGCCACAGCTGCATCTCAGGGAGGGACCAAGCCCCTGCGCGCTTGGCTTGCAAAAGTACAGCCTGCACTTCTGGTCCCTTCCCCTGCCGCAAAAGGGATGGAGGAGAGCTACCAAAAGTGTAGGAAAAACAATACGGGAGCTTCTACAAAGAAGCAGCCTAGAAAGCAGGTGCTGGGGGGGTCCCAGAGAGCGCTATAAAATCAAGGATGAAGGACAGAGCATTTATAGTCACGCATGAGGCCAGTTCTGGGAAGGACTAAATGAAACAACTGGGCAGCAGCCTAAAAACCAGCCACTGTGGGGGATGTTTTCGTGTAGTGCCTAGCTTGGCGCTGGAACTCCCCATCATGGGACGTCATGGGTTGTGAGACAGTGTTACGGTGAGCATGAGCCAGGGCTATAAAACCTAATGCTGGCTACACCCCTGGGCTCAGAAACACCCCAGCACTGCTTCCGCAGGGAGCTGCCCCCCCAAAACATTATCCCTCACCCTATCCTCAAGCACCTGCTCCTGATCAGGGGTGGTGGGTGCTGCTGCTCTTGGGGAAACCCAGTTGTGCTTGGCAGGGTCCGGACCTCAGGAAGGGCAGTGCCAGGCAGGCCTTTGCCCTGCATGGGGTGGGGGAGCACCTCTGCCCTCGTCCCACGGCTCCCTGGGTGTGGGGAGATAAGCAAGGAAGGTGTTGGACAAACAGTTGCCAGGTGAGTGGAGGAGAAGGAGGGAGGGGAGCGACTTTTGTTCCCATCCAATGCCACTGTGGTACCACTTGGCACGCGGTACAAGCAGCTCCCAAGGTCCCCCAGCCCCATGGGGACACTGCAGAGAAGGGCCAGTAAGGGGGTTCAGGGCTGGAGGCAGGCAGGGATTCCCAGATGTCCCCCTGCATCCCCCAGGCCATCACTCCAGGCGTCCCCTTGCCATTCCCACGCCGGCACCCCACTCTGGGCACCCCTCCTGCTGCCAGCCCTTCTGTCCTCCGGGGCCACCCTGCCCACACACAAACACGGAGACCCTCCAACCCCTGTCCCCCAGGCAGGGACACTGCCTGCCACCAGCCCCTGGGTCAGAGCCACCCTTTCCTAGTGGGACCCACCTGGGCTGCCTTGTCTCCTGCGTGTGCCTCTCCCAGCGCAGCCCCTGCCCAAGGGTCCCCCACTTTCCGCCTCCCTGCCCGGCTGGGCACGCAGCCCCGGAGCACCGGTTGCCGAGACGGGCGGCTCTGCCTGTGCCTTTGGTGGCCAGCAGGTGTCAGAGCACGGGCAGGGACCGGCAGGGAACCGATACCGACGGGCAAGGAGCGGGCAGCGACGGGCAGGAAGGGTCGGGGAGAGAGCGGGTACCAACGGATGGGGAGCAAACACGTACAGGCAGGGCAGCAGCGGTCAAGGAGCAGGCACGGATAGGCAGGGAACAGGCAACTATGAGGCAGGACAAGCGGATGGGGATGGGCAGGGAGCAAGCACGGGTGGGCAGGAAGAAGACAACGATCAGGGATGGCCAGGGATGGGCAAGGAGCAGGCAGCAAGGGGCAGAGAGCGGGCATGGGCAGCAGGGAGCGGGCAAAGATGGGCAGAGAGCAGACAGGGACGGACGCTGCTTGCTCAGGGGCTCGGCTGCCTGCGCAGACAGGTAGGCAGGGACCAAGAAACGTGTGGGCACGGATTGTGTGTGGGGTCTGTGCTTGCCGGAGGCAGCAGGGAGAGGCCACCTCCTCCCCATCCACAGCCCAGAGGGGCTACAGCATCCTCAGGGACCAGGGCAACCATGCCTGCCTGTGTGACATCGTCCCCCTCCTGCCTGGGGGTGAACAGAAAGTCTCACAAGGTGACGGCAAAGATGTGGAAATGCCACCATGGCCCACGAGCCCTGCGGAGCCCAGGCTGGAATGGGATGTCCAAGCTCAGCCATGTGGCACTGAGCCCTGGCCACGGCTTACCAGCCCCAGTGCTGCTCTGGTGCCAAGCTGGGAGGCTGAAACCCATACAACAGGCATATAGCAGGGTTTGGGGGGAAGGCGAGTGGTGACAGTGTGTGAGGGGGTGCACAGAATGTCCCTGTAGTGGCACAGGTGACTGGGCATACCCAGGCCACATGCAGGACGGGGCACAATGCCACCACACTGAGCTGGGTGGCCCTGTGCTGTCCCATGCACATCACAGTGGAGACCCTGGAGACATTGGGCTGGGCTGAGTAGAGATGTTCTCCCCACTGACCAGCACTGGCATCTCTCCCTTCTCATGCCCAGACTGGGGACAGGACCATGTCCTGTGGGGGAAGCCAAACCCCTTTTAGGAAGACAGCAGGTCTGGAAGGAAGGGCACAGCTCGAAGACAGGGCACAGCCAGCAGGGACCCCAGGGCCATCTCAGAAGAGGTATGCAGGACACTCAAGTGTGACCACAGCCTCAGCCCAGGGGTTGTGGATGGAGTTTGTTTGGCCACAGCTATTCCCATGCCTGAGGCTGGCCCGAAGAAGAGGAGTCCCACTAGCATCTCCCCCCAGGTGAGATTTCTCCCAAAGGAAGCCAAGAGTCCTATCCCAAGGTCTCCTTGAGCAATTCCTCACCACTGCAAGGATGGTCTCGGTACCAGTTGGGCCAATGGTGGCTGCAAGGGGTGATGGCTGTGGAAGGGAGAGGCTTGGGGTTGGGACTCCATGGGGACAGGGGGCCCGGGACATTCCTGGGCCAGGCTGCCGGGGAGAGGTGAGGCGGGCTCTGCCTCCAGCCTTATCTCAGCACCTCCGAGTGGGACCAGCGAGAGCAAACACACTGGAATTCTTGAGGAAGATGAAACGATAAAGGAAAGGCAGGCAGAGAGCAGCACTACCCACCCCCCCAAGCAGGCGGCATCTTCCGGCTGCCTGGGACACCCAGACCCTTGGACTTGGGGAAAGAAAACAGGTTTGAAGTGAGTCAACAGCAGTAAAAGCCAGCGCACTGGGGGAAGGGACAAGGAGTTGGGTCAATGGCCTTTCCCAACCCATAGCAACACAGGGCATGGTACCAGCACCAGAGCTCGCACACGTGGGGGCATCTCCCATGGCCAGGGGCCACAGAGCAAGCCCAGAGGGCTGTGGGACGGCAGTGAGCTACCAGAAGTCATGCCACCTCCACAGTAATGGGGACAATTCCCTGCAGAGCTGCCCAAGCCACCATGGTACCCATCTGTGCATAAATGTGCGGTGGCTAGGGATCCTGCGGGTGGTAGGAGCCCTCATTTGGGCAACCCAAGAGGACCAGGGAGATTCCAGGTATCCTGCCAACAAGGCAGCAGGACAGTGGGAAGTGTGGGGTTGGCAGGTGGGACATGGAACCCTCCCTCTCCCAGGGGTGCCGGAGGGCACTGGCTGGCTTAGGGAAGGTGGTGGGAGCACTGCCAAGAGCAAATGCAGCCAGAAGCACTCTCTTGCCTCCAACTCAAGCAATATGATGTCACCCGTTTCTCTGATGCACGGACCAGTGGAACTCACAGCTTCCTTAGTATCCCTGAGGCTGTTCCCTGGGGGATGCAGGCTCCAGCCCACCCCCAGGGCTCCAGCGACCAGCAACCACGACTTGTGCAAGTCCCCAAGCTTGGTGCTGCCTCACAGGGGATCTCAGTCCCTCTGCTGCAGTCCTCAGCCTGAGAACCACCTTGCACCACGGCCCCTGCCCTCAAGGACCTGCCCCCAGGGCACACGGGGTTGCAGAGCTGTCAAGCCAGCACCCAAGCAGC